CTGTTATTATCTATGTTATTAGTTTACGTCATGCACGACTACCTATATTTTTAGATTTATACGAGAGTTAAGTAAGTTTGTAAATTATATTAAGAAAAATGAAATAAAATATACTAAAAAACATTGTACTTCTTTATATTTTACCAATTTTCTATCTCTTTTGTTTTCGTAATATTAAAACATGTTTCAAATAAAAATTGAACAATATATGTTTTAATTTATATATATATATATTATATACATAATCTTAGAAATCCACATTGTAGTTGCACAATAGAAAAAGAAATAAAAATGTGTTTTTAATTGTTTCTGCAGTATGCAGTCATATTCAAAGAGCAAATATAGACAAGAAGGGCAAATAGTGAATGAAGGATAGAGATAAGATAGCAGAAATTAGCGCCATCTTTTAAATGCTGTAAATGAAACTAATGTAAACAAAAAGAATGAGAAAGTAAAAAAGAAAAGGAAAAAGATAGTGTAAGAATTGATTACTAACGCCATCTCTTGAATGCCAAACACTTCTAAAAGCATCATTTCCTAATGAAAAATCGAAATTTTAACCAGAAATATTTAAATTTAGAATTTTTTGATTTAAAATTTTGTGTGCCACCTCCTTGAGAATTATATTCTCCTAATAAAAAGTCGAAATTTTAATCAAAAATTTGTAAATTGAGAATTTCATGAAAAATTTCATGTGTTACCTCCTTTAGAATTATATTTTCCTAATATAAAATCGAAATTTTAACTAAAAATTTGTAAATTGAGAATTTCATGAAAAATTTCGCATATCACTTTTTCTAAAATTATATTTATCTAATGAAAAGTCGAAATTTTAGCCAGAATTTTTTAAATTTAGAATTTTTTAAAAAATTTCGCCACCTCAGAAACTTTCAAAAATAAAATATTTTCTTATCATTTTAATTATTTCTACTTATAAAATTAGATATACTCATTCACTTTTATACGTATTTTCTTCATACTTATTTTTTAAACTCTACATTTTCAAAAACAAAATTTTTTGATCGGTTCATTTAATTGTACCAGTGCTGTCTCTTTAGAAAGAAGATAGAAAAAGTAAAGTTCAATGCCATCTTTTGACAATTTTAGGAGATATCTTTAAGCACTAAAAGATGGCGATAGTTTTCAATTCTTGTTCTATCTTACCATGCTTTGAAAAAATATCTTTAATGCGCAAAAGAGGGAACTGATGATCAATTTTTATTTTATCTCTTTTTTCCTTTTCTTTCTATTTACTTTCCTTGTCTACTTCCTTTTGGCAGACACGAAAATACAAAATATTAATTAAACATTATTTTTATCATTTTCCTGTCGCAACTATGTATCTAATCTTTAATGTAAAAAATATAGATTATTACAATCTTGGTTTTACAACATATTTTTAGAATGATAATCTTGCAAAACATAGGATATGTACTTTTATATATATGACACGAATGTTTCAACAGGAGGCATCATTCGACGACAGCGGTTGAATTTAAACAAGCGAAAACTCGGCAACAAAGAAAGTAAAAAGGAATTTTAAATTTCTTTCGAAAAACGACGCTATCGAAAATTCGTTTGTCGAATCTATCAATTAATTCTTCCAAATGCTAATTATTATTGAATACAAAGCAACTTAATATAATTTTAATAAAAGATTATAAACGTAATGTTAAGTCACAAATTATTTTTGTAATCTAAGATTTAAAATGTCTATAAAATATAGCCTTTGATACTATATTATTATTATTTAATTATTTAATTTATAATCATTTCATATATAAATGATTTTAAAATAATTGAAAAAAATCATATGTTATAAATATTATATTTAATATAAAAAAAAAATATTGTAAAACTATTACGAAAAAAATCATCGAAATATTAAATTCAAAAATTTAGAAAAATTGAAAATTATAAAATTTAAATTATTCAAGTAATCTCGACTTCTTGATACCAAATGTATCAAGGTTGAACTCACATAATCGCATAATATTTGCTTTATCAACATTCATTCAATGCATTTAAAAAATGCATTTCGATAAGCTGTATATAATAAAATTGAATTTTGTGAAATAGAAATGAATTTACTATAAATTTCTATTTCCCAAGATAATTCCTTCAAAACTTTTCTTTTTCGAAAGAACAAGATTTAAAATGCTTGGAATATTTTTTTTGCACGACAATAAAATTTTCTTTTCTTTTTTCTTTCTTTTTTTTTTTTATAAAAGAATGAATAATTTTTTTGTTATACATAATTTCAATATATTTATAATTTTTTAAAAATCAAATGGCAATTGTTTGTGATTAAAAATTAAAAAGATTAATTATTTTCCAAAAAATAATTATATCTTAGTCTCTATATCGAATCTCAGTCAAAAAATTATTAATTCATAAGAACATTATCCTATAACGAGATACATAAATAATCTTTCAGTCTTTCTTGTTCGAGATAAAATAGAACGTTGAAGATAATTATACATTACATACTGTTCAACGTATATCATTTACGTATATCAACAGATATTTAACGTTAAATTATCAAGCAAAGGTTATCTATTTATTTAATAAGAGAAGAACAAGTTCAGTCGATAAAAATAATTTTACTAAAATTTAAAGATTTTGAAGAAAATGATTATAACAATGAATAATCATTTTCGTAAATACATAAATGTTCAAAAAAAAAAAAATTGGAAAAAGAAATCAGGGATCAAGGTTAAAAATTATGGAAAGGGGAAAAAAAGAAAAAAAGTCTTCCTTTTTTAGAAAAATTTAAAATACAAATATTTTTGTCGAAAATAATCATTATAAATTATCCATCACAATTAGATAAATGAAAAAAAAAAATCTTATTCTTATCTAAATGAACCAAGAATTTAAAAAAGTCAAAATTTTTCAAGATTGGAATTTTCTTCGAAAAAAATAGGCGCTTCTTATTTTGAAAAAAAAAAAAAAATTGATAAAGAAATCAAGGATCAAAGTTTAAATATAATGTACAGAGTAAAAAAGAAAAAAAGTCTTACTTCTTTAGAAAAATTTAAAATACAAATATTTTTGTCGAAAATAATCATTATAAATTATCCATCACAATTAGATAAATGAAAAAAAAAAATCTTATTCTTATCTATATGAACCAAGAATTTAAAAAAGTCAAAATTTTTCAAGATTGTAATTTTCTTCGATAAAAATAGACGCTTCTTATTTTGAAAAAAAAAAAAAAAAAGAAAAGAAAAGAAAAGGAGAAAAACGTTCCGTGGTTTCGAGATCAGCTAGAAAATTTCCAAAATCGAAAAATCAAATTTCGATCCATCGAGATCGCGATCCATTCGATTTATTGAAAACTAATTTTCGTTACATAGTACAGCGTACACGAGTTATTTTGTCCGCGGTTGAACCGTCATTATCTGGGAGTATATAAGAGGGAAGGAGGTTGATAAGGGCCATCATCCGTTTGGCAAGTAAACTCCCGTCAACTTTCCATTCTCGCTCGTGTTTCCGTTTCAAAGGTCTGCTCGCCGTCATACGTCACTGCTTTGCATACACGGTACACGTTCACATTCGTCTTTTCGGAATTTAATCGTACGCGGTGCTGTAACTCCGTGCAACTTGGTTAAATTAATCGTCACAGTTCCCTCTTGAAGTTAGTGTGCCGATCTTCATCTATTCCAATGAATTAATTTGAATTGGAATTTTTCCACTTGGAATTTATTCCGACAACATTTCAATAACCGTTTGTCATCATCGGTGCTGATAATATACCAATTTCTTTTTTGTATTTATAACATTTTCGTGATCCTCATTTATGATTGTGATTTGAAGTGTAAATGTTTTACTTGTCAATTAATTTTGGTGATAGTTTTTTTTTATTTTTTTTTTTTTATATCGTGATTTTCATTGACGAGTTTATTTATGAAGTTGGTTTTTGAATTTTTGGAAATGAAGTTTCTTTGATAACTTTGATAAATGAAAACTTATCGTTCGTGCTGGTAGTATTCTTTTCTGTTTTTTTCTTTTCTCTCTCTTTTTTTTTTTTTTTTTTTT